TATTTCCAGTCGTGATAAATAGGAGGTGTGGGAAAGGAATGGGGAGCAGGACATAAGGATATAATCCCCTCTGTGTCTAAATGGACGTCCCAGTTTGGGGACCCCTATTTTTTAATACCAGGGCTCCACTCTGGGACCTTCCTATTTCAGTGATTTGACTGGGAGATAATTATTCTCCAGGCAGTATTCATTTGTACCTGTTGTTCAGGTATCTGAGACTTATAGAGTTCATTGAAAACTAGCTAGAGAAGTTCCCCAGCAGCCTACTGCCTCGGTTAATACATTTTCTGGGAAATGTCCCTGGCATTGTCACAAGCCTTGCAACTCTGTTTGGATGCAGTTAATTCTTGACTCCAGGGGCATCCATCACCAGCAAACTATGGTGAGAATATACCTGTTAAAAATGTTCTCTCTGAGTTCTGTTGCTGTTTATGGACCTTCAACGGCTCCCCATTGTCCACTGAATAAAAACCTAGTGCCCTGGCCTGCCTCCAGGACCCTTCACAATCAGGACCCAGGTTTACCTTCCCAGACTCCTCTTACTACCTCCTTTCAATCTGTGGATCCCAGCTGAATCACATGTAGATGGTTATAATGACCCTTTACCATTGTGCTCACATGGGTGACTGGGAGCTGTGGCTCGCTGCCAATGCCCAGCGTTTTCAGAGAGTATTGTGTTGTATATCACTAGCTGGGGAGAAGATCAAAATCTAAATTTGAAGAATGGTTTTTGCCCAATGTTTATGCCTTTTGCACCACTGTAAAGTTGAAAAATCCTGTCAAACCATTATAAGTTAGAAATCATCTGTATTTGCTGGTTCTTTTATCTGCCCTTCTTCTTTATGTCCGTTCTACTCATAGTGTGTTTTTTTTTTTACCTGCAAATTCTATCCATAACCTTCACATATCAAAATTTTCCTTCTCCATGAGCAGCCACTCCTGGCTTCCACAGCACATTATAGTCTTTTATGGCCTTTTGTTTGTGCCTATATATCCCTGCTAAATTGTGAACTATTAGGGTTTGGGGTTAATAGAGACTGTCAGTATTAGTCAACCTGAGCTGTTATAACAAAATATCATATACTCGGTGGCTTAATCAGTAGAAATTTTTTTTCTTACACTTCTGGAGTCTGGAAATCTGGGATCAAGTTGCTAGTATAGTTGAGGTTTTGTGAGGGCTCTCTTCCTGGCTTGTAAATGGCCTCCCTCTCCCTGTGTCTTCATGGTCTTTCCTTAGTATATAAGTGAATGGGGGGGAGATCTTTTTCTCTTTTTATAAGGACGCCAATCCTGTCTGATTTGGGTATCATTTTTATAACTTTGTTTAATCTAATTACCTCCTAAATCCCTATCTCCAAATGCAGTGACATTGGGAGTTAGGATTTAAACATGTGACTTATGGGAGGAACATAATTTAGTCTATGGCGGTCCACATTTGGTCCTTTAAAGTCATGTCCTTCTTATATGCAAAATACATTGATGACCATCCCAATAGCTCCCTAACTCTTAGTTTATTTCATTGTCAACTTCAAAGTCTCATGTAAATATCATCTAACTCCGATATGGGTGAGATTTGAAGAACAACTCATCTTAAGACAAAATTTCTTTCCAGTTGTGGACCTGTAAAACCAAAATACAACAGTGGAACAGGATAGATATTCTCATTCCAAAGGGGAGAAATAGGAAAGATGGAAGAGGTGGTGGTTCCCAAGGAAGGGCCAAACCTAGAAAGGTAAATCACATTTCACTTTAAGGATTGAGAATAATCCTCTTTGGTTTGATGCTGTGCCCTCCAGATCCAAGGAGGTGGCAATATCACTCCCATGCCTGTAAGCGGGAGTTCTGTCCCCAAAGCTTTGACAGAGGCTGTCCCACCTATTGAACCAGGTGTCCCTGATGCTCTATCTCTGCCGCAGCCTGGCTGGCTGGGCAAAATAACCGGGGGGTGACGAACGACTTGTGTTGATTGATACAGCAGGAGAGGGAGCCATTTATTGCAGGACAGGAGCAGTATTTATACATTCCACACAGCTTATCTAATTAGCATAAACTAGATACATCAGTCAACCAATCAGGAATCTCCACACTTAATGGCTTGCTTTTGTTACTTCTCAAACCACTCCCTCTGGCATTTTGCCAGGCACCATCCAGACTTGTTTACGAACTCTAACATTCCCCTGGCAAAATGCCAGGTGTTATTTTGACTTGTTTACAGACTCTAACATCTAAATCACCCTCCAGTGATTGTTTTTTCCTCTTGAGGAATAGTGCATGTTGGCAGTTGAATACCTGAATCATCTTGTCCCCCACCATCAAGTCCAAGTTCAACAGCTTTTCCTCATTTGCCCAGCCTCCATCCCTTCAGTTCAAACTGGCAATGTTTCATGTAATCCCATAAGTATTTTATCACCCCAGGTCATTTTATCAAATAATAGCCCTTGGTGCTCCCTTCAGAGCATGCTTTCTCATGTTTTATAATGTTGGTATGCTGAGAATTTCCCTAGTCTTTAATTTCTGTTCCTTTTTTGCTTAAAAATCCATCTCCAATTAATTACTCTCCCTTTTCGTTTTACTAAGCAGTAGGAAGGAAAGCTGTTCCTCAACCCTGCTCAGAAATTGCCTCAGCTAAATATCTATTTAATCACATAAGAGTTCTACCTTTGACAAAATACTAGAACACTGTAGTGTTGAGGTTTTTTTTTTTTTTTTGGCCACTTTATGAGAGCAACACCTTTCTTCCAATGTACAATAACATGTTCTCAATTTCCATGTGAGATCTCACCAGAAAGACCTTTAATGCCTATATTTCTATGGACATTCTGTTCAAGGCAATCTAGGCTTTTTATAGCATTCACCTCAAAACCCCTCCAGCTTCCACCCATTACCCAGTCCCAAACCAGCTTTCATATTTTTAATTATTTGTCATAGGAACGCCCCATTTCTTAGCAACCAAATCCATCTTACCTTGGGTTGCTATAACAAAAGACCATAGAAAGGGTGGATTAACCCACAGAAATGTCCTTTCTCACAGTTCTGGAGGCTGGAAGTGAGATCAGGGTGCCAGCGTGGTTGGGTTCTGGTGGGGGCTCTCTTCTTGGCTTGCAGCTGGTCAATTTCTTGCTGTGTCTTCACATGGTGGGGAGGGAGAAAGAGAGGGGGGCGGTAGATTCTGCTCTTTTTCTTCTTCTTGTAAGGTTAATAATACTATCAGATAAGGACCTCAATCTTTTGACCTCTTTTAATCTTAATTACCTCCTAAAGACCTATCTCCAAATATAGTCACATTGGAGGTTAGAGTTTCAACATATGAACAGTGAGTGGGGGTTACAATTCACTTCAGAGCACTGCTTAATATTTAAACCCGTCTCATTCCTATCCCAGTATCCTACATAGAGTGAGTGTTCTGTAAATGCATGTTGAATGGAAAGAAATTGAATTCCAGCGCCTCCAAGGAGTGGTTTTCATAAGCTGTGCTGTCTTAGCTTGTCGAATTTCTGAGGTCTCACACCTACTGGAAGGGCCACAAAGAGTGAACAGGTTTTTGTAGGAATGGGCTGAAGGAATTGTCTCAGCTACAGCTATTAAGGATCAGACTCATGGGGTAAGAATGTTGTGAGGCTGTTATTCATCCCCAAGAGAAATTCCATCTAGTATGTAATGCTAACAATCATAATTCTTCTAAGCATTTGGATTTGTTTTAAAAATATCTATCACAAGGATTATGAAATTGTGCATATAACCGAATTGCATTTCTTATGTGTAGGCTGAATCACCTGTGATGATGGTGCTGCAGCCTCGTTGGTGGGCATTTTGACCTCAGTCACAGATTAGTTTCATGTTCCCATTCATGGTTTTCTATTGTCTTCCCTCCTATTTTAAATTTACGTAATCTTGCCATATTTTTGGCACCTTTAAACAGAATTTGGTTACAGAACTTCAGAAATCTTTTCAGAAGCCTAGTAAGATTTAAATGCATTTTAAAAATAAACAAAATTGCTCATACATTCCCTGAGGACTAGCAGCTCAAAAAAAACCTAAAGAGCAGGATCAATTCACATATGAGCCCGGTATTGGGTGAAAAAAAAAAAAAGCCTGTGTTTCTTCTTATCTATTAGTTAATGAGTTAATCCTTAACAAACTTTAAAAATAGCTCTTAAAGCCCCATTACAGATGAGAAAGCTGGAGCTCATGGAAATGAAAAACACGTCCCATTTTTGAATTGGTAGGGCTGATGTTCAAACCCTCATTCATCTGATGCTAAAATCAACATTCTTTCAATCCTGTTCCCCTGCTTTCAAGATAGAGGCAAAGTTCATTCCTAGGGAGGATCAGAGCCAAAAAATGAGGCAGAGTAATGACCTTGAGGAGTTCTGGTCCTGGGAATCCATGGACAAGTGTTCAACCTCTGGGCTGAGGGGCAGCTGCAAGAGCCATTTGCACTGTTGGAGGGAAGCTGGGTTCTGAATGGTGAGGCTAAGTTCAGGCCACAGGAGAGCTTGTATGAGAACTGAATTAGCTACTCAGGAGACTGAGGCAGGAGGATCACAAATTTGAGGCCAGCCTGAGCCTATTTTAAAACAAAAAATATAAAGGGCTGGGTTTATAGCTCAGTGGTAGAGTGCCCCTGGGTTCAATCCCCAGTACTAAAAAATAAAATAAACATCAAAAAATCCCCTGTTTGGTACTGGGCAATGAGAAGGAAAGAACAGATGAGGCTTTGAAATTTCCCAAGAAGGATCCCCAGGATTTTGAGTCCATAAAATAGATCTGGAACTGGTCTTGGGGACCACAGTTAGCCTTGGCAGAGCAGGACATTTCATTTCAGGAAGCGCTGACTAAATGTCTGATGTGTGGTGGGTGCTGGAAAAACAGCCATAGCCAGGGTTCTGATCTTGGGGACCCCCACTGTTCTAGGAGGACAGACAAGTCTAAAAAGGGATCTCTTTAGGTCTGGAATCAAGGGTCCTAGTAGGATTCATATTCACTCATCTTTCTTCCAGGGCCATGTTCTGCAATGACTTAAAGGAAAAGTATGAGAAGAGGATCATCATTAAAGGGGTGGACGCCGAGACCATGCACACGCTCCTGGACTACACATACACCAGCAAGGCGCTCATCACCAAGCAGAACGTCCAACGGGTCCTGGAAGCTGCCAACCTCTTCCAGGTGTGTGAACAAAGGGGCTTGGTGCTCTTCTCTCAGGCAGGTGAAAGCAGCAGTCCCCAGAGACCTACCTGGACTGGCTCCCAGGCCTGTATCTCACCCCACCACACACACACTTAGCTGGGCCTGTGCTTACTTGAAAGTCAGAAGATGTTCATTTAGAAAATTTATGAGAGGTGGTGAGATGGGACATTGACTCCTTCATGAGATGAAGTCAGGGGATCTGGGTGCCTAGAACGTAGACATGGTTCTTGACTGCAGGCACAATGACACGTCTTGCAACAGTCTAACTGGAGCCAGACCTGCAACCAGTGCTTCATATGCATAACCTATGACTCTCAGTACAACCTGGAGAGGTGATTATTTCCCCATTCATGAGCAGGGAAAATAAGGCCATTCAGAGAATGATTGACACGGCTGTGATTTGAACTCTGGGTTTTCTGATTCCAGGGTCCACATGCTTGCTACAATACCATGCAATTTCTCAGGCAGTGATGTCTAAGTTCTGGGGGAATCAGGGCCTGTTGTGATTACACTGTGTAGTGACTGAAAGAACAAGACTGAAAAATATGGGGTATCATTGAAAACCCTCAGAATTAAGTTTAATTTTAATATAACATGTATTTCTTCCCATCCAATTATGTTGGCTTCAATGTGGTTACAATAATTATATTTAACTTCATAAAATAATTAGACCCATAGATGATGTCAGTTGCATCCACAATTATATCAGGGGTCCCATCCCTGAGTCGAAGGTCATACCATTGAAATTGAGTCTAGTGGATTCAGGCAGAGACTATCTCATTGCTTGGATGTTGAGACTTATCAGAAACATATACAATATGTATATACAGCATACTTTTTAGTATTTGCAAGACCCAGAGAAAATAGACACTTTCATTCATTGCTGGTGGAAGTGTGCAGAAATTTTTCTGGAAGTCATTTGGAAACAGATATGAAAAACTGAAGGAATAATTATGGATTTTCAAAGTAATTCATATAAATAGTTCTGTAGTGAATTGGGTTATGTTCTCTAGAAAGATATGTCTGAGTCCTAATCCTTAGAACCTGTGAATGTGACCTTATTTGAAAAGAGGGTCTTTGCAGATGTAATTAAATATCTTGAGATAAGACTATAATAGCTGGTATCTTTGTGAGAGAAAGGAGAGGGGGGTTTGACCTGGAGGCAAAGGTGGCTTAGGACAACAGAAATGTATCCTCTTAGAGTTTTGGAGGCCAGAAGTTCCATATCAAAGTGTCCGCAGGGATGTATTCCCTCTGGAAGCTCTAGGGATGAATCTTTCTTTGCCCCTTCCAGTGTCTGGTGGGTTCTGGCATTTCTTCTATCGTGACCACAGCTAATCTCTGCCATTGTGGCCACATTGCCTCTTCTTTGTCCACAGGTCCCCTGGAGGTGTCTGTGTTTTATAAAGGTACATCTGAGTACATTTAGGTACCATGCTGAGGAGAAACACCTCCTCTCAAGCTCCTTGCCTTAATCATGTCGTGTGGCATATAAGTAATATTCACTCCTTTGCCACACAAGGTAGTATTTATAGATTCTGGGGATTATGGCATGAACATAACTTTTGGGGGCCCAACATTCCACCTACCACAGAGGGTTTCTTCAAATACCCTCTGATGATTTGATTCTTGGTAATCTAGTCATATTTTGGATAGAGGCCTTAATATGCTAGTTTGAAGCTCAGTGTACATAGGCCAGGGTGGAAAGCCAGTGGACAGGAGAGTTTTTCCAGTGCTCTCAGCTAGCCTGCCAGTTTTCTTTTTATAGGGGGTTCCCAAATGTTAGAACCTACTGGGCTTTTCTTAGGATTGCTCAGTTTCTCCAGACAAGGCTCTTTTCTCCTGCTCCAGGGTTATAAGCCAACTACATGTATTAGTTTGTGTGTGTGTGTGTGTGCGTGCAAATCTTCACTTAACCCCTATATTTTCAATATGATGCCTGTGTGTGTCTTCTTCAGGTTCTGGTGTCCCTGAATCTAGAGCTTCTTTGGGCATGACTTCTCCAGAAATTAAATCTTCTTTTCTAGTGGGAGTGGGATAGGAATTATTAGACCATATGGAGTTAGGGGGTGAAAGGAGGCACAGGAACTTATTCATCTGTCCCCCTACTGTCAGTGGCGCCTACCCTGGCCTTCCTTCTTCCATAAGACCTCAATAGTCCTGCTCTTTTGGGTTCAGAGGGGCAAGCTTGTTCCCCTTTAGGCCTGACCTTCCCTCTCAGCAGAGTCACTTGCCAGTCTCTTGTTTTCTGTGGTTTGGGGTTACTGATGCCGCCTGGTTTCATTGAGGATGGTGTTTTATATTTCTGTTTTTTTGTTCTCCTTTCAGTTTTGGGTGATTTTTCAAGAGATAAAAACTCTTATGATATTAAAGACTGTGATCTTTTATAATGTCTTTTGAAAATATTTGCCACTGGTCATTTGACTCATAATTTTTAATTACAGTTTTATTCCACGTACAAAAGTATTTAGTCAGATCTATTCATCATTTCCTTGATTTTTTTGCTTTTGGTATACATTTTTAGAAGGGCTTATTTAGAAGGGCCTTCCATTGCTCATTCTTATGCTTATTCACTTATAACTTCATTTAATCTTTTGTATTTACAGCTTTGATATTTAAATATTTATATATCTGGAATTATTTTGGCATCAAATATTTTCTTCTCCAATTCCCTTCTTCACCTCCTCCTTTGCTTCCTCCTCTTCCTCTTTCCCCATCTTCTCCAGGTGATGAGCCTCAATAGAGAGGTTGGTTTTAACAAGAGAAGTGGGAGAAGGAAGATAGGATAGAGACAGGACAAGCTCTGTTCATTGTTGATTCCTCTACTCTGGTAATCTAACCTTAAAATTTTTCCAAATCTCTTTCTAAGAAAAAAAAAAGTAAGTTTCTCCCTGAGGCTATTTTAAGAAAACTAGAGAAACACTCTGTGGACTTCTGGGTCTCCATTTAACCTACTGATTTCTCTGGACTACTTGCTACGAAGTCTCAGATATGAAAAACTGGTCACAAAAAATAAAAAAAGAAAGTCAAACTTGAAAAAACAAACTGGGACTCCTTTCATGTGTGAAGGATAAAAATTAATAGGTCACTGAAATCACTTCATAGTTTTAAAAGAATTATTCTTTGGAATGGGTAAAACATGCCCATGTTCCAATTTCAGGAAGGCTGAAGGGAAGGCAGTGAGGGTTCGCCATTGTCACTCTTAGTGAGGTCTTGCTGTTCTTTCTGTTCTATGTGCATACAAGACGATATACACATATACCAGTCCCATTCATTGCTCTCATTTTACAGACACAGATGTTGATATACTCTATTTCACATCCTACTTTGTTTTATAACATATTTTGGAGATTGTTACAGGTCGGTGTGTGTAGAGCATTGTGTTTTCAATAGCCACGTAATATCATTAAAGTCTCCTGAGATGGGACCTGTTCTCCATAATGGTCTCAAATGAGGCAGAGAGGGTAGAGGGGAAAAACCATGGGTTCAGAGTCAAGCAGATTTGGGTTTAAACCCCAAGCCAGCCATTTGTTTGCTGTGTGCTTGTGGACAAGTTACTTTTCTGAGCCTTAGCTTTCTTGTTTGTAAAATTAAGATGTAAAAATTAAGTTGTTTGTAAAATTAGCTCTCCTTCCAAGGAGCGATATTTTGAGGATCGAATGAGATGATGTATGCAAGGTACCGGACATATAATAGATGCTGAAGAAAAGTCTCTTCCCATAATTTGTGTGTTAATTTTTACTTTACTTTGCATAGTTTGTGCCTTGGATAAACTGGCTGACACTGAGCTATAAGAACATTTCCCTAAGAATCCCTAAGTTTTTTTCCTTTTTTTGGTACTGAAGATTGAACCCAGGGATGCTTAACCACTGAGTCACATCCCTAGCCTTATAAAGTTGCCAAGACTGACCTCAAACTTGCAATTCTCCTGCCTCAGCCTCCTGAGATACTGAGATTACAGGTCTGCACCACCATTCCTGACAACATCCCTAAATCTTTTTGTTGTTATCCTCCCCACCCCAAATTAGGATTATAAAGTACCATGTTTAAGTTTATTTATTTTTTTATCATGTCCACATGGTATGAAGTGAACAGATGCTTTATTTCAATTAACTCAGTCATAGGTAAAGAAAAGTGTGCTGGAGTTGATATTTATGGTCATTCTTGAACACCCACAGAAGCTGGCACTTCCTTCGTTGAACTGAAATCAATGGCTGTGAGGTTCTCACATGTCCCCCACCCCACCTGATAGTAAAGGTTTCTTCACACCACAGAGGTGACTCAGTTTGTTTTCTGCCTGTCCCTTTAGGTCTTCTCTTAGTCTCTTTCTGTTACCCATCAATTGTGTTTTCCCAGAATTTTCCAGTCCAGAAAGGGCCAAATTGTTGACCAAGTCAGTTAACACCCGCTGTTTGGGAAGAGCAACTTCATTAGCTGCTGGCTAGTGTGCAGACTGGTGGCTCAAACCAATCGGGTATGGCTTGACATGGGACAGTTCCTGTCAGGAACTGTGTACAAGTACTGACTGATCTACCCACTACAGGACTTTTGAAGCAAGCTGACCAAAATTTATTGGTTGGTTATAGGAGAAACAGCTCTTCTCTGAGTACTTTTTGGAGAGATAAAGGTAAGAGAGACATCTAAAAGGAAATGCCAGGGGATCTTTTCTGTGAGATGATGTCTTTGAGATGAATATCACCCAGCAGGGTGCCTTAACTGGACCTCCAGGCTCTGAGTTCTAGGTAAGCAGCCAGTCAGAAGCTATAGACACCGGTCAACGACTGTATGAAGTTGGCAAGATTTCTCAATCTTGGAGAACCTCACCATGCTCATTACTTTTGTTTTTACTCATTTACTTTAACTTTTTCATTTTTTAAAATAAAAACTCATGAAAAAAAAATTAGGGCTTGGGAGCTTATCTACAAGGCAGTAAGAAGATGTAAGGTCAGGGTGGCATATCCTGTATTTAATCTTGGAAG